ATATATGTATATATATACAGAGGTCTTGTTGTTTAGGCTCACGGAGACCTCGTTTTCAGCTCTACTTGCCTAGATTTTGAGCTGAACAGGCCCACGCTTAGAGTTACAACGCTAGTTAATGAGAGCGTTAAGGACAAAGATAGACGATGCGAGAGGGCCTTAATGGGGAGACGGTTTTGCTTCTGTGTATTCGCATAAACGTTGAGTGAGTACGCCTAACACACTGTTGTGACCGTTGCATTGAATCTCAAGTTGATGCGGCTGAACAGAAGGTCAAAGAGGCGATAGCAGCAAAGCTCAAGTTCAGATAGATTCCATGGTAATCCACGTCGTAATCATCAATCCACGCTAGCGTATGTGGCCACGCTTTATACGTAAAATTGAATTGTCGATGAAAGAAATTTTTTACCACTCTCGGTGCTGACAGTTGGAAGGCAATTATGCTTTCCTTTTTGCCATAGCAAGAGTTTTCAAGTGGCTCGTAATATAATAGAAGACTACAGTAGAAAGAGAATACATTGTCTCCATTAGAACGTTTTGCCTGAAGTTTCAAATATATTCAGTAAAATTTTTGAGAACTAGTGGGAAGCCGTCACCTTCAAAGATAAAGCCAACTTAGGACGCACTCTAAATTACGAACAAGTTTCCATAGCCACGTGACATCTTTAATGCTTGCAATTTCTTTTTAGCTTGAACAGACTCATACGGGTTACTGTACTGCTGGAATAGATTGTTGTACCATTGAAAAAATATCGTTGCTTACGTGGGCGGAAAATCAACATTTTTTTTTCGAGAAGTAGCGAAATCGTCGGCCTTCGTATCAACGAACTTCATTGCAGCCTACAGGCTGAATAAATCTTTTAATATGGCAGTGATGTAAGTTGCTGTTGTATATGTACTCAGTTTTCATGGGAAGGAACCGATGAAGGTCATATAGTCATAGAATTATCTTTAGTGAGACCTTTGACCAGTTGAGATGTTTGCATTAGCTAGCGTGAGTTGTAACGCGGTGCATTTGATCGTACTAATCCGCAATGAGTACAATGCTGTAACGAGGATCAGCTCTCATCAGGTATAGTTTTACTTAAATCTCTAGCTAAATCCTGACAACACGCTGAGGCTAAAACGTCTCAACAGCTACGCGCTAGATGGAAATCAACAAAAATACTATTATTCGTTTTCTGTCCTAACATCAAAAGAAGCAAATTTAAAATCACAGTAAATAAGGGATATCTCAATTGAATGACATGGTGTTGAGGCAGTGGCCAACTTCAGTCATCGATCTGGGACAGCGCGAGGTGCTTCCTCGACAGATCTGACCTGGCCAACACACTTCTCATACTAGCCCTTACTCATAGTTCGTTTCCTTTCTGGCAAGCTAAATGAACCGAGCCAACTGGGTAGGTAATTAATCTTTGTAACAGGTTACGAGGGAGTTGCGAACGCCAAGAACTAAATCTCGGTTTTAGGCCCACAAGGATGGAAGCTTGGAGCTCGGGAGTGCGCTCCTTCTCAAAGCATTCAGGCCCATACCGTTCGGTTGCCTGCTGGGCTCTCGCCATCGTCTACACCTTATGCGCAAAGTTCCTATGGCGTCCATGCGGTGAAACAGAGGAAGAAGAAACAGGGGGCCCACCTAGCCCCTAGGAATTAACAGTGAAAGCTAAATTTCATATGCACGAACTCAATATGCAGGTTCATAGACACAGGTAGAGTATATTACCTTCGAAGAAAAAAGGTAGACATACAGCTCGTAATAACGTGGTGTTACGACAGACACATAATAACGCCTCTACAGTAAGCATATGGACAGTTAAAAGCGAATGTTACCCCACGAGGTCTAAAACGTATTATAATATAAACGGGTAATGAAAATCTAAATTCTTGAGGTAGGCCTTATTTGAGGGAGCTAAGCACTATTGACAGCAAATTAACTATCTCCGCTATAGTTACAATAATGGGCTTCTGATGAAGCCTGTTAACTTTAGTCTCAATGTTATTTTTAATATATTCGGTACGGGGAGCTTCAGCCAGGCGCATTCGATTACCATATAGCTACTCAACTGCGCGGTTCGGTCCCTTATTTGCATATATAGAGGACCGGAGTATACGCTGAGTGGATAGACGATCATCCATCGTCTTATCTGCAGATTACAGAAGCGCTCAAAATATACCTTACCAGACTGAACAAAGCCAAGCTGATGCTGAAACTACATTTTGGTGTAATCATTTCGTTGAGCAGAGTACCTCTCTCTCGAGCCTAGATAAGGTAGAAATACTTTTCCCTACTTACATCGCTATAGTGGTCAATGTTTAAGGACCGGTCAAGCCATCTAACTGCACAGGACGCCTTACAGGACGTTCCATTAGTCCGACAAGTCATCAACTGCAAATAGAAAACTTTCACGTCAATGAACGACTTATCATTGTCGTAACATATAGAAAACTAATCCATTAATTTATTTTGTGAATATGATGTACGTAACATTCACGTTTAGATATAACGAAGGCCTTTCCAAACGGGAACATCAAACGGGTAGGCCATTTTGACCAAGTAATTTAATGCTGAATTATTAATAAGCGAGTTACAATTATGGTATTTTGGATTAACTTGCCTAAAGTTAAGCAAGAGTCGTTGTACTAGATGTACATGCACTAGATAATCCAATTTCTCATCTCTGAAGTACAGCAAAGTGATGCTGCTGCTGCGGCGGCGGCGGCGTCGTCGCCGTCGTCGTCGTTCCAGTTTAATGGCACGCTTCTATGCCCTTCTATATCTTTAACGTTATCATCGCGGTCAATAGAAAAGTGCGTTAAAGCATCTCCTGACGGCAAGGTTCTGGGCAAATCATCGAATAATTATACAGGTCGACCTGATGGGTTGCAAAAAAATGTTTTTGTGTCGTTATCTACCGTTGAACCTAGATAGTATCATTACAGATTTGTTATGCCGGGGCGCACCGAAGAAGTGGGTCTGATCCAGGCGCGTATGTATGATACTTTACATCGGGAAGAGGCAACGTCTAAACGTATTATTACGGGAGAACAATAGGTATAGAGATAGCTATTTATCGGTAATATGCACTCGTGCGAACGTCCACCACACGTAAGGTTTCTATTGCTTGTCTATACGCCCTAGCCGATCTTCTAGATGTCTGTACAATATACTACTAGAACTAGTGGAATATTTCGAGAACCATCGGGTAAGTAGTGTTTAATCGCGACATAAATTCATTTTTTACACAGGAAAATCTAAAATATCTGTACAGCCTGTTTCCTAGAATAACGTTTTTGTGGCTCTATAAATATACGGAGGCATTCATTATAGCATCAAACAATGGTCGAAATCTCTTGTGCGATCAATAGAGGCAAACATCAGCTACGATACGCGTGCATTTCTAAACAAAAGGCCACTCGTAGATCGCATTGCAAACGGCCAGTTTCTGCTGGAACAGTTCCAACAAGGACGATCATCGTTCACCAGATATCGTAATTGGCAGACGATCCATCTGGAGTACCCCATAATCTGAAGAAACTAGCATGACCAGTCTCGGCTGTCGACTGTCGTTAATTCCGATCAGCATGTCTAGAAAGGGGCCGCAGCGAAAATTTTCACGAGACCTTGGCAATCTGAAACGTTCAGATCAGACACTAAAGATAACCTAGCAGAGGCATGTTTTGGAAAAATGTTCTATTTTCAGACAACAAAGAAGATGGTCTAAGGGGAATAACTTTTCGAAGAATTCCACAAGCTATTGTCTTAGATAGAGGATACGGTTTCATTCACTTCGGGAATCGGTGATTTCAATAACGAGATAGCATCGAACAAATGTAGTTGCTAAATATCAAGGCCAATGAAACCCAGTATCGGACGAAGGCGATTATCTTCTAGTGATCACACCAAAAAGAGACGATACTGTATTTAAAGATTGTCTCTGATAGTTATAACCCATATAAACACGTAACACGTTATAACCCATATAAAGCGTTCTTAAGAGTTGATGAACGATCATTTTGTTCGAGCTTTTTCAGGCGACATGTCAACGCTCCGCGAAGCATATGTTCGTGAACTCCGTTTCGAATCTAGTAGCGCGTAAAAGGACACAACAGCCAATGTCCTGTACGCAGCGGGTCCTACACTGTATTTAATCACTACTACGGCCACCACGTAAGATCAACACACCCATTTCATAGAGCGTACTCTGAATAAATTACATATCGTCCCTCTATTTGAAATAACTACGCCTAGTGTATATCTAAAAACAGCTTTATTATCATAATCCCGTTTCACTTAATAAACAATACATTTTTTGCTCGATTATTTTATTGATGAGCGCTAGCGCCGTGCTTGCTCTTCCGCCAAACCCCAGAGCTAGCGCCCCCCACTCTTTTGTTGGCTAAGTCACATCATTTTATTCAGGACTGCTTGTGATATGTACAGGAGTGCTGCGACCTGTTGCCTTTTTTTGCCCTTCGATATCAATACCAGTCAGCCGATTGACTGCCCAATGCCTACGTGGCATTGGCGATACAGACAATATCTTGCAGTAATTATTACTATAATCGTGTAATATAAGATTTAATTTATTTTCCTCTAGCTTCTGTGATCATCCATCCGCTGAATTGACTTTGTTGTGTGTCTTTACAATTCTGCCATTGACAGAAGTAATGCATGTACAGGTTACTTATATACATCGCTACATGATATGTTATCCTTGTTTCGGCCTGTGTATACTTTACCCAACTAAATGTTTGCCACAGCGGCGGCCCTCGTTGCGTTAATAGTCTCAAGGACCTTAGCGCCACCACCATCTCGCTGTTATCATTGGACCTTATTTGGTTAGTTAAGCTCAACTGTTTCCTTCGATTAATAGACATCATCATGCAAAGACACAGTAGTAGTTTGCACGGTGCACGATTTATCAAACAAACAATAGCCAATGCTTTGCTATGGGTTCGCGAATTCTATTGATAATAAGAATCGTGTCTTATTATTACCTTTTTTTTTTTTTTTTTCTGTTAACTGTCCATTGGCCTGCTTCAGATCTGTTTAATTCTTTTACACACATCGATGGTAACTGTTTCGCTTGATTCCACTCAACGATTAATAACGCACGATATTGCACGACTGTAATATTGTGTGATACAGTTATCATGTCACTCACAACGGGTCACGCTATAGTCAATAAAGGCAGACCACCTAGATCATTTATATGGGACCGTCGAGACCCAATCAAGTGTCTGCTATCGAGTTAGCAAATATTCGATGCGTGTCAGGACATCAACAATATGCATCAGCCTATGAAAAAAGGTACACTACGATAGGAGACTATTAAACATCATATGACTAGAAGTTTTTACTAAGAAAACAATTAAAAAGTAAATAATTTATATTCTAAGGTACAGAACATAACACACATAATTGTACACTTTAATTATTTACAGCAGGCGCTCGAACTAACAACCGAACGTTAACATCGGTCACTGGGCAAAAGGCATTAGTACGTACGCGGAAGACATACAAAACAACTACACACCAAAACCAACTGCAGCTTAAATACTCTCCGAGGGCTACAGACGGATCTGGGCCATTCCCTGGCCACATGTTAAATTTCTTGCTGCTTGTTGGTACAGAAGGATAGAGCTATCTTTATATATCCTTGAAAGAAAATGATTCCATTGGCCCTTTTTGCTCGCTGGCTCAATTTTGCTCCGTTACCACCCAGGCCTTCACTCCTGCTCGCCGATAGGAAGTAAGACCGTAAAGGTCTCTACTAACATGCTTCCAGTGCTTAACTCGGCTAGCTATGCACCTGGATCGGGCGACGCCAACAACAACTTCTGCGGCGTTGCTGTGTGTGTGAGATCTCCCGGGATAGATTAGGTGCAACAACTAGGTTCCCACGATTCGTACGGTAGTAAAAGTGCTGAACGATGCACGCGGACGTCCAACAAATGTAGCCAGAGGAGCTATTGCAGAGCAGCTCACAAAGGCCAACTTAAACAAATGCCTTGGTGTCTGAGACGTGGAACTCCATCAGTCGACGGTGTAGGGGCAACCAGAGAACGCGATATTTGCACGATGAACTCTGGTGACGGTGATAGCGACGGCGACAGCGACAGCGGCAGTGGCTTCGGGCATTCTAGGATGTGGATCTGTGTACATGTACCGCAAGCACAGCATCTCATGGACCTCATAGGGACAAGCCCTCGCCTTTCACGTAGGAAGTAGCACATAGGCAAAGCTATTATGATACGTTTACTTGCTATACAATACTTGCTCTTTCTTAAATGACATTTGCTTTCGCCATGACATTTTTGTGTTTAGGGGCGAGCGTCAGGTCAGCTCTAACTTAGGGGAAGGTCTGGGAAATCTTCGGCCTTGAACATTTTTCGGTCTACAGAAACCTTGTTGTCAGCTTGGCACGTATAACTGCCAGAGTCCATCTGACGTGCAGGATCGATCTCCAATTTGGACTTGATTCGGTTATCCTCGCGGAGCCATTCGGATATCTACAAAGAAAATGGCGAAAATGAAGTAGCAAGTCAGAGATTTGAGCATGTTGCTATATAGATCAATGTAAGTAATGCTCGTTTTGTTCGGCATACGATGTTTTGTTAAGCGTATTATAATATTATGGTAAAGTGAATTCAATAAAAATTATACATCTTTGGATCTTTATTTTATTATTATGACCACTTCTGCTGACAGCAATAGGGGTACGCATCGGCGGAAAAAAACATATTCAACAACGAGAATAAGCGCATTAAACTTATTAATAAAAAGTCAACTTTTATTCTCTAATAGATAGAAATCTTGTCTTGTACAAAAAAATGTGCTTAGAAATTCAAAAAACTTAAAATATTCTCTCTCTCTCTCTCTCTCTCTCCATTTTTTTGTCATTCAAAATGTATATTTCTCCTACCTGAACGTACGGATGACCCGCAATCTCAACGCCATCTTTAAGCCAAGTAATCTTTGGCCGAGGAATACCCCGTGCGATGCACACTAGCACGATTTTATGGCCCAAAAGGAAAGTCAACTCGAGATGCGATGCCTTCTCAATGACTGCCCCTTGCTGAAAATAGATGAAACTCAATTTACTTATAATTAGTTAGATATAACGCATTTGATCTTTACTATGTACCAGTATTTGTTGTAGTTAGTACCTTCCCCTAAAATGACAGTTCGAGCAGACCAATGCTACCTTTAGCTTCACCTATTTTCGATTTCTCTAATCGATCATCAGCATAGAGGGGCAATTTAGTATGACTAAAAATTTATTTAACATCACAAGCACTTTCGGGATGCTTGCCAAATGTACGTATCTCAGGGTCGTAAGATACAAACATGTAGGCCACTTCGGTTACGTGCCACTCACCTCATAATTTGAACGAGGATCGAAAACAGACGAAAATAAAGTATGGTCAGTATTTGTGCACCGAAAGCCATTTAATGGCTTGACAGGGATGGCTTCGCCTTTTAAAACCATTCCTGATGTATATCAAGGAACGTTTACTCCCGTTTGCGCTGCTTCAACCTTCATATATAAAAAGCGACATCAACATACAGGCAGATGCTCAACACTCCGTGCTCCCCGTCCCTCTGTTTCCGGCTTGCCACTTACTCTGTGCATGTGCCAATTCTGCCAACATCCAAGAACTTGCATGTCTATTTCGAAATATATTTAAAGTCGTTTTGCTGCAGAAGCTTGCCCGAGGCAAAGTTTCCTCTATGACAGCACAAATGCTGTGTCTTTGCTGGCGTCGGGCTAGCTGGCCTCGTACCAATTGCAGCAACCCGTCCTAGTTTGCAGTTCGCACGAAGTAAACCTAGGAAAATGTGAACAAGTTGCTCCTTGCCCTGCCCATCCAGCTCCTCTGAAACACCTCCAGGCTATCCGGGATACAAAAACGCGCAGGGAATTTTTGTACTTTGTCGCTGCAATCTGATGTAGACCAGCAAGGACAGGAGCAGATATAGTCGTATTCACTGCTGCTGCAGCGTCAGCACGAGCATCAATGTGAAAGCCAGTAGACCTGCTTTAAATGAAGGATGATTCCGCAACAGAAGAGTGCCGTGGGGATGCGCATCGAGGCATGCGTCTGGCTGATATTATAGCTACCTTTCTACTAGCAAGTCCATGGCATATAGTGAATCCAATGTGGACATGTCGAAAATAGCGGTTTAGCGATTGACAGGACAATACGAGCTCAAGTGTGTATTAGTCGTTTTCGTTCGTTTTTTTTTTGTCGCCGACATGCTGTAAGCTTTTTAGACCGATCCAAGTGTCTACGTCTAATCCGCCGATCGTCTACGCTAAGCAGTTTCTGAAGACGTATCCAGTCGATTAAGGCCTTAGTGGAAGCGTATGATTTCTAAGGTTCTGAGAACGTTATCGAGAATATATTTGTTATTTTCGGTATTAGTCTGCAATGCCAAAGAACACGATAATAAAGCAAGTCGTGGCAAAAACCCCACCGTCACAGAACCTGTGCTACTGGCCTAAGCCAAACTGTCCTGAGACCTGTCGTAGGGCTCGCACTATCGATCTCAAAATATAAAATAAATCGTTTGTGTCTACTAATAGTAATAGTTGAACATAGCAGCTTTTCTATGATACGAGAAGAACTTGACGTGTACATGAAGTACTGTGATTCGAGCACTCTTATGAGCTCATAAAGGCATCGAAGTATTTTCCTGATTTAGAAAATTCACGAGTCCAGTAACATTCACATGCCGACATCCAATTCTGTCATCATACAGTGTTTTCTCCTTAGTTAGGATTCCTATGAAATGTTTGTCCTGTTGCTCATTCTAACGGCAGCAAAGGGATAAATTAATTGTTTGTTTGAAACTCTCGCCATTAGTTTGCCTATCACATACTTTTTCCTCAAAAGCCAACATTTCATGATCTCTAATGTTTCAAATGTACCTAGTATAAAGCTTGGTTTTGAGCATAGTTGTCGGATCTGCACACAGATATAATAATGACCGGGGGCAATATAAGTAGGGCCGCAGACGTCCCCAGAAATAGCGCACTCTGAAGGGCAGATAAAGACAAAGTAATAGTACAGCCGCCGTTCCGATCCTGTTTTCTATCCTATTCACTAAATAATGAGCCTCTGCCCGCTCCTCAATAAGTCTGCTTTGGCCTGTTTTTCGTGCCTGTCTAAGTCTTTCGCCATTCCCGCGACTGACCCATTCACTCATTCAACCAAGGCGTTCGTTGGCCCAAAGCGAAAACAACCAATATCGTATTCCTATTTACTTCCTAACAAAAACGTCATCCCTTGCCATTGCCTCATCCGATCTTCGTTCCCATTCCCTCAGCTCCTACTATTGGGCTCTTCTCGACGCCCCCCGAGCGGCTTTTCGTCCTCCTCCGACTGCTCTCCTTAATCTTTCCCGATTGAAATGTTAGTAATCTGTTCACCGACCGGCCTGCCAGGAAGCCAACCGCATAAAAGCGCTTCATCGAGATGCCGCACACAAGGAACAGCCGAGAACAACGAGAATAATCTTCTTTATATATACAAAGTTAGGCGGCACCTTAGCTTGGATAAGTCTCAAGCTGGCACTCAGATACGATTGGTCTATTTTAATCCATAGCTTCTTTTCAGTAATGGGTTAAAATGCTGATAGGATATAGTAAGACATTTAGGAGTGAAACGATAATTTAATTAAGCAGTGAAGCATGTATGTTGTTTAGCGTAGGCGCTACTATGTTTGATGTATGTTGTGATAAGGAAATTTTAGGTAGTAAAGGTGGCCATATTGATAATGCCGAGCCAACAAGCGACTAGCTATAGTAGTGTGCCAATTGTGAGCTTCTACTTAGCCCACACTATGGAACAGCTAAAGAAAAAACGCTAGAGAGAACACTATCGACGGATTTGTGGGGTCTTCAAGATTGTGCGGTCGTTGCGCTAAAGCTTTTTTAAAGCATAGCAAAGAAACAGCGACCTCGAGAGTATCTTAGGTCAACAACCTCTTTTTCCCGTAGTCAAAAAATGTTTTTAGACGATCTTCGACAAAGTCAGCTATCGTAATGGATAGGTAAGTGGTTTTAAACTCTCCCCCTATAGAGCAAATCCTCTATGAAGAAAATATACGAAAAGAGCGGACCGGCTTTTATGGACACTCTGAATATCATTTGTGTGCTTTTCCTGTTGTTACATCTAACACTTGATGCTAGCATAGAAAATAGGAAACATATAGCAACGCGGACGTAGCATATTGCATGTAGCAATCTGTAGTAGCTATAGGCTACATATATAAAACAAAAAATATGACATAAAGTCACTTGTAGGCAGAATTTCCTGTAGAAACAACTCCGGTCTTTTCATTTCAATCGCGCACATTGCTACAAAGTCTCATCGGCCTATAAGCGGCAAATACTCTGGAACAAAATTTAATATTAAAGTGTACGGATATACACACTTCGCTTGGTATACACGTTTTCTCATTTTGGAGTATCATCGGGCTTTTATAGTGTTCAATCCGGTCCAGCTGCTACTTTATTGAAATTGCAACTGGCTTCAGTAACGGCTTTACCCTTCGGGTTATGCGTGGTAAACCTTCAAGGATTATAAACACGTAAATATCATCAATACTCTTGAAGAGCGAAATTTACAAACCTGCTGGATAACATACCAGGACAATAATACACAGGCTCTCGTTGAAAACGTATTTTCGAAAAGTTCAACATGGTAGCATATTTCCACTTCGCTAGCTCAGCGGTCTTCTGCAGGCCGTGAGACCACATCAGCCAGAAGACCCATAATAAAATGTTTATTATTTTTTTATTGCTGGCAGTGAAGCCTTCCGATGTCGATAATTCCCAGAATTACGTATTGGAGGGCGCAGTGAGGGGTAACGGCCTGACTGACGGCTGTTTTCTTCTGTAGATTAGTTTTGACGACTGCTAGCAGAATTTTAGCGGCACTAGCGGTGTTTTACCTATTTGTGTAACCTATTCAAAATGACCACAAACCACCGTAGTTTGCAGTCATGAACTAGCTTATCGTTTGATTCTAGGCGCATCTAATATTTGTACTAGTTTTTCAATTGTTCTAGATCATTTTACATGTTACCAGGATTTTCAGGACAGCTTCATGGCTAATTTCCGTTTAAAGTCTTGCTGTTACTCGGTACGATACTGAAGATTGTAGTTAGCGACACGAACGCCTATTGTTGTCAAATCTGCATGCGTTCACGGGTATGCATTGTACATATTATTAGATATAATATATAGGTGACAGTAGCATGGAAAAAGTCTACGAGTGGATGACAGTGCCCTGTAACTATGAAGATTAAAAAAAAAAAAAAAAAAAAACACGCTCTAGATAAATGCGGCACAACTAAGCTACTATACATTGTTCAATGCAACATAATCAGAAAGCGAAAATGGTTTATTTAGTCAATATCACTTCGTTCAGCTATTTCTTTCAAAACCGCTTTCAACATTTTGTTGTCGTTGTTAGTGCTTACATTAAGGTGATGTGGAGCTTTGTGATTGTGATCGTTCGCCGAATGCTTTACTGTTGAAGTATGTTGTGTCTGCGATGTTGACTGGGCTATAACATGTCTTGAGGAAGTCCTGCGCGGGCTTCGACTCCGACTAGCAACACGTTTCGGTTCTGTGGCGCCCGCTGGTGGAGCAAGCGAGACAAGTAGGAGCAAGCTTAAAAGTGCTAACCAACAGCTGTAGGCCCATCGACAGCTACTGTGGCCGCTATTTCCTGCTCGAAAAGAGGTACGCCACCGAACCTTAGGGTCACCTGACTGAGACGCGAACGACTGCAAATGGCAAGCGGATCGTGAGCCTATAGCCATCCCCTCAAATCTAATGGAGCACGAGCCGGTGCTCCACTTCAGCGCAGCTGCTCCGTGCGTAAGTGGCGCCCAACTGGGGCGCTGTTATCTGTTATAGACCCGACAGAGATAGCAAGAGAAGCAGTCGAATTTTCACCTGAAATATGTGAAAATATGAATTTCTTAGCATAAATAAGAATCTTTGAAAGCCGTAGCTGATCATACACGCTTGCCGCTTGGTAAACCCGAGTTACGCAATTTTACAATTATGTCTTATACTGTTATCATTAAGTAATCACTGTCAAGGTTACATAAACTCCGTTTCAAATTTTCGGTGTACCTATTGTAGCTTTAATGAAACCACCGCACAACATTTAACAAACTCCTAATGACTAGGCTCTGCTCGTATCATAGATACTTTTTACACACGGCTACATGAGGTTATAGAAAACTATATCGAGGCCGGCCGATTATGACGACCCGACTTCAACGGCTCCAGCATCCCGAGGCGACTTGTTGACTATCACTCACTAACTTAGATAAGGATTAGGTTCTCCTGAGAAAATCTGTGTCTTCTCTAGCTAATCATACGTATGTTTTATACTGCGCTAGGAAGCGATGCACTTTCATTCCTCGTCCGATTTTATAGGATTAACTAAGCTTACAATAAGCGTTCTTGGGAGAGTTTACATAATGACAATAAGGCAATTTCACCATACTACACGTTGTCGATGTTTAAGCTTATCAACACATTAATATACTTCACACACTTTCAAAGAGCTGTAACTTCAACGGTGTATACATCGACAGCGTGTTCTAGCTAGAATAAAGAGAGCAGAGTGTGGGAAAAGGCCAAACCGTGCAAGCCCGACTAAACAAGGCCAAACGTTAAACCTGCACTTGTTTTGGGCCATTATCGGCGAATACTTTCCAGTATAACTAGGGACAGCGCGTTAAGTGCGTACTGAAAACTGACAATACTCACTTAAAGAAACAATTTCCCAGGAAGACAGACGTCAATTTGCATGGCTGTATTATTTCATAGAAAAGCCTAATTGCCCACGGGGGGTATTAACAACATCTTACATATCAATCGTCTCGTAACAGTCATTGGAGCACAGTGTTGTAAAATTAATGTTTAGCTATTTGTTATTGAATAAAATATGATTAAGCACGTCTTGTAATCAGCAGAATTACAGCACGCGGTCATAACAGCGAAGAAAGGAAGTTGCTTTTACTAATATCTCACGAATGGTTTAATTCTACGCATGTTGACGACCGGAAGTTGTTTCTGCTGACGGTAACTGTACCGTTGACAGAGTTAGCTGGAAGGCAGTTGGGTAGGACTTATTCAGCCTGAAGTGAATTAGTCTGACCCTCGGCCGTCTGATCTGAGGAAGCAAAGGGAGAAACGGGGGCAAGAACGTAATACGAGGTCAACGAGAGGGCTTAGCAGCAGGTGTTGGTTGTACTGGTTCTTTTTTCGCTCACAGGCCTAACTGGCAGCAGAAGCACTTCGTACTGATTTACAACATTGTTACTTTGTCCTACTGTTTCTTTTCTGCTTTCCTTCAGCCTTGCATTCTGCCTTTCCCCAAAATCTCTGGGTCTTTCTTCCAAATGGGTCGCTACAGTCGCCCTATACAAATCAGCCGAATGAACTGACAGGAGCGAACTCCTGTGTGGAGCCGATGGAAGTAACAGTACAGAATACTAATAACGGCTACAGTGATACGTACACATACAAACCGTGTCCTTTTAAACAAGTTGCACGATACTAATGTGTTCGAACTGTCCAAGTCCCCAGTTATTGTCGCCATTATCGTTCTCGTTTTTCCTCTGATATTAGCCATGGCAGATTCTGTATTGAAAGGAAGCGTACCATAGACGGCGCCATTTCGGTGTTCCTTGTCTACCTAAGACAATCTGCCGACCTCTATGCGTTGCACTGCCAGTCTGTTGCCTTAGCTGCCACCAACTGTCTTTGAAGACTACCCATAGGACACTTGGCGCTAGCTTCCAAACGAACGGCCACCACTTGAGCTCACTCATACTAGTGACGACGAGAACGAATAAGTCGCATTATTTTGACTAGTCCAACCAAGTTACCGATGGTAACTAGCTTCGACCATGGCGGCGACGATGGCCCCAACAGAAGAAATAGCGGCTGCGCCGTTACGCTTTTGTCCCCAATGACGACTAGAAGTAACCCCATCCTTTGGCCTGTATCCAGTCTTAAGACTCTTGGAAATAGGCTGGAGGATCCCGTTGTCACCCCCCTCCGACGGCTCTCTTCAGCTTTTTCTGCAGGCAGTCGAAATCCCGTTTGCGATAGAAGAGGACAGCTGTATTTGGTTTTGCGTGTTAAGGTACTCTTCACTGTTGCCTATCACTGTTGCTACTACTGGTTGTGCCTCTGACTTCGTGGAAGTCCCTTTCTCACTTCCACCGGCTGACGCTGGCTTGATCCCACAGTGCCCTTTGGTCATCTCGGAACCTCATGCTACTCCTTCGCCATGCTACTTATTCCTTACCCCTGCAACTCTCCCGCTCCTCGTCCTATTTCTCCCCTCGATTTGCCTTTTCGTTTGGACCATTCATCCTCTTCGCTTGTAGATGGATGGGCGGCTTTGGATGGAAACAGCGTGGCCAAGGTAAGTATAAGTAAACGGTAGGTTCGGCGGTATGTCTACGTCGTACGGAATAGGAAAAGTCTTATCTATGTGCCCTAATACCGTTTGCCGTTGGAACAACCATAAACCACTTTAGCAGCAGCAAGCGAACGCTGCTGACGTGGCAGTGGCCAGTTTCACATAGCTGTGGCAGGCAGCTGCAGCACCCGCAGGTGCAGCTGCCTTTCTAACAGTAGTAGCAACAACAGCACACGTGCCCTCTGAAGACGTGAAAAGCAGCGGCCAGAGGACAGGCGCCGGCCCCTTTTTCCTACCACTTTCCACGACCGAAACATAGACGCTAACTTATGCTAGAGCTGAAGTATACACTATACAGACAACACGGAAGGAAATAAGGGGGAAACGGACGATTTGGATCAAACAATGTGTTTCACCTGGCTAGATACAGCGACGACGTGTTGCATTGCCCTGCGGCAATGATCTATACCGCCACCCCAGATAGATTGCGCCGTGGCTTTTTGGTCGGTTCCTGTCATAGTCCAGTGGAGATTTGATCCGCAGGAGAAAACGTACGCAGAGGGAGCGATGAACCGAACGACTTTGTTCTCACATGTCGACACCTCACTGTCCGAGCAACAATTGAGAACTGGGTAATGTATTTAAGCTTTCCTTAATTATTTACAACAACCAGTCATGTTAAAATCTCTGTGCTTGTCGAGACGATCTGACAATTACAATTTTGGCGCTGACTTCTCATTACTATTTTTAACAAATTTACACTGAAAGGGTTGATTGCTGTTAGATTTATTGTTGCAGATCTTTGATAGCTCACCGCTGGCTCACTACCGCTAAGCCCAAAATTCCAGTGTTTCTCTATTACATCCATATTTATTTATTTGAACATGCTGCTTAGTCTATATACATTTTTTTATCGAAATATCCTAGTAATATAGACCATTTCCTTTTCGCTGTATCCGTAGCGGTATCTAAACAGGACCTGGTTATTAATTGGAGTGTTTATTCTGTCCCCTAAGTAAGACTACTTCATCGTACAAAAGCCAGAGGTGTAGCCGTGTTGAGATTTCCCAAAGTAGGCAGCATTAGACAGAATCTAGACAAAGTCTAGATCTCTATCTCTCTATCTCCATGTTAGCTCATTTGCTAATTCATTCGCTCATTTAGTCCCTCAAAGTGGCCTGAACAAGCTATTCTTTGACCAATAACCCCCATCTCCGTTAACATCTTTGCGCCTCTTTATATATATATATATACGTAGTAGTGACATCGGGATAGTTATAGGTATCCAAGGTGGGCATTATTTTACATCGACGTATGCCCAATGCATGCTGACTACACGCGTCGTCCATGATCGACCACGACAGAATATTTCGTAGGAGATGAGCGTGTTACTTCTTGAGGAAGGAAGTAAAAAACAGAGGAGAGTTTTAAGTTGTGATTACAATTAACGCAATATGGATCATCACTTCCATGCACCAGCTGTAGTAATGAACTTGTGATATCGTGTGTTTTCATACGAACTCATCATTACCGTCGAGGGCATTAGCAACGACGATTAGGTTGTGGGTTGTCTTTTACAGCCTGTTATTAGATACGGGAGAATAACACCCAAATCTGCTGCTATTCCTTTCTTACCGTATTTAAAGAAATGATGAGGAAAAAAGAGGTATCTATATATGATAGCTGTAGAAGCGCCAATGTTCTTCGAATCAGCGCTGATATAAACATCATTGTATTTATTATAACAGCTGCTGTTTTAGGCTAGCCGGAGCCGGACAACATGAACATTTTTGTGGCAACAGGAAGCACCCTATTTCACTATGGAAACCAACGTGCAGCTTCTGGTATCGAGCGAAAGGTATAAGAAATCTGGTCAATAGGTCAGACAATATACAATAGACATCAAACGCATTTCCGAAGCTCATCGTATCCTGATAGAGTACATCGATACAACGCATCTAACAGAGACTCGTAATTTTGTAGGGGACATATGAAATGTCTAATAGTAGAAACTAGTTTCTATCTAATGGGCTAATTGACAAAGCTTTGTTATTAATTATGCAACCAACTATTGATAGCGTGAGTGAGTACTACGGACTCTTTTATATATATATATATAATATTTTTTTTAAAGACTCCTTTTTAATCTATGTGCAGGATATCTGCCAAGTGATTTATCGGTGTTCTGTCGAACCCGGAAAGTCGTTTATTTTCGTAAAAACAGAATTCGTTCTTAGACATATATACGATATGGAACGGAACGACGCTCAGGATGGACGAGAAATCGGGTATCGTGGCAGCAAGCGTCGAGGGAGGCGAAAGTTAGGCTAGCTCAGTGATTCAGTGGCCCCGGTGGGTCACTGAAAGTAATTGGATTGCATCGGAAATAGCGAACGTTGCAATGTATACGCCCTTCGGGAAACTATTTATATCGCCACCTGTCTCGTTGCCGACGCAGAGCCGCTGCGCGGTCTCGGCCAACTGCTACGCTTTACGCAGTGAGTAA